CGAGCTCGGACAGGTCATGGGTGGTAGACCGGCGAGCTCGGCGGCATCGTCTCTGCATCTTGGCGGGCTCGGCATTCGTGCTGCTCACTTCTGTACTGTCAGGAACGGTGTGTGTAGGAAGCAGCTTAGGCCGCTGGTGATAGCTACGGACAGAGGACTCCTGCTTGGAGCGTGCGGCCAGGATCTCGAACCAGTTCTCTAAGAACGGGGTACCGGGCTTGGAGGGCTGAGACGATGCCGGCTTGGCGAGCTGGGGTCCTTCCGACCTAACCTCCCGTGGCGAGGCCAGAGTGGTCGGCCTTTCCTACTTGCTGCGGGAGGAGGCCTGGCTCCTTGGAGGGTTCCGGGGGGCTTTTCCTTGGCGGGAAAGGTGCTCCTCTTGATGATGGGACCTAGCCTGCTGCGTGGCTGGGTGCCGAGGAGGGAGTTGCGATTGCTGAAGTTGAGGTTGCGGTAGCAGGGGAAACTGCTGCTGATACTGGTACTGAGAGACCTGGTGCAACACATGCTGTTGATAGATCTGAAACTGCTGAAACTGCTGCATTTGAGCCTGCATGGCTCGCATGCACTGCACCAAATCTTCCAGCTGGTTCGGGCTGGCCGCTGGGGGCACAACCGAGGGTTCAGTGAAGGTTATTCCGACTGTGGTAGGGAGTGGAGCAACGACCGGTGCCCCTGCAAGAGGAACGTCCAAATTAGGGATCCTGTCCGCTGAGAGGGGGACGGTGAACTGTCCGATACAGATAGTAGGGAGTTGGGGCTGTTCCGTGGAGTTATTCATCTCCGTGCTTCGTCCGATGTTGCTAGAGGAAGCCATGAGCGTTGAGTTTTTGGAGAGTAAGAAGATGTGAAAGTTTAGAGAAAGGCTTTTTGAAGCGCTTCCCACAGACGATGCCAAATGATGTGGCGCGATCCGGTCACTCCTACCTGGCACTCACGTGGCTCCTGGAAGGTACCTGAGATGAGGAAGAAGAAGAATCCCTGGGGAGTTTACTCGGTGGGGATACTCCGATGCTTAAGTTAGTACTATGAAGGAGAAGCAAGAAGGAGGCGAAGGCTAAGAGTGCAGATAGCGCCTTTTCACTATACTTGAGAGATTAGAGGTCTCAAGAAGAAGTTTCTCTTCTGTCCTGAGGGCTTTTATAGGGACACTCACATCAGGTCGGGCATAACCGCCACTGGGCTCCTGCCACAGCCGTTACCTGCCAGGGCTGCGCAGGTGGTTGTTGTGGCGTACATCTCGCCCGGGTGAGTGACACGTTTCCAAAGTGCCAGGCACGCCTTTGCCTGCTAAGAGACGTGGATGTAGATTGCCGAAAGGACTGGGACTGTGCCGTCAGTAAGGGATATGGCGCAGTCTGACCGGTACGGTTTGTTAGTCAGAAGCTTCCTGAAGAGCGCTCGTGCGGCTCATTTGCGAGTTATTTTGTAGCGAGCTTGGAACACTCCAGGATTACCCTTAGTGGAATTGGTCATCAGAATGACTTGTCTGCTTGGGAGTTCGGATGAGCTAATAGCTATAGCTCGCGAGCTAAAGTTGCCTCGAAGTATCTCTTCAATGGTAGCTCGGGGAGCTTGGGGTTCGCATCGCGGCGAAATCCCTTCGCGAGCTACAACGTAGCGAGCTGCTTTGCAGGCCCGTCACTTGGTCGTGCCTGGTTACAATGCTGAGCTGTCGCTCGTGCTGATTCAGTGTCCATGTGTCACCGTTTCATAGGTGGGGTCAAATCACCCTCCATCATTTACTATTATATTAAAAATAACTAAATAATATTATTAAAACTATCATTAATGATTATTTAATTAAATAGTATAATTACTTACTATTATTGATAAATTTTGTTAATAACATTCTGACAACCAACGATTCGATCGTCCAGTTCGAATGGATGGTCCATTCTGACAAAAAATTGCAAGCAAAAAATTACGGAACCATTCTGACCATCGGTTTTTGGGTTGATGATTTGATCATACAGTTTGAACGGATGGCCGTTCTGACAACAAAAATTATAGGCAAAAAGTTGAGTTTGTGAAGTCCATTAAATAGTATCATACGTGTTATGTCATTTGAGTGTGTGACTCATATGACCCAAAAACGGAACCGTTTTGGCCACTAGTTTTTGGGTTGACGGTTTGACTGTTCGGTTCAAATAGATGGCCCATTCTAACAACAAAAAAATACAAGCAAAAAATTATAGAACCATTATGGCCACCGGTTTTTGGGTCAACGGTTCGACCGTCTGGTTTGAACGAACGACCCACTATAACAACTAAAATTACAAGAAAAAAATTGAGTGTGTGAGGTCCATTAATCTATATCATACGTGTTATGTCATTCGAGCGTGTGACTCATACGACCCGAAAATGGAATCGTTCTGGCCATCGGTTTTTAGGTTAACGGTTCGACCGCTGGTTCGAACGGACGACCCATTTAGACAACAAAAATTTAAAACTTAAAAAAATTGCCAAAAACCATTGAGTGGGTCAACTAGTTAACTATTTGATCACTTGGGTCAATGGGTCAGTGACTGATTCAATGGTTTTTGCCCAGGGACTAGGATTGGGGTAAAACAGAATTGGTTGCCTGGATGGTACCCAATTAAAAAAAAACAAAAATGGATGACCCGTTCTAACAAAAAAAAAATTACAAGCAAAAAATTGAGTGTCTGATGTCCATTAAGCAGTACCATATGTGTTATGTCATTCGAGCATATGATTCATACGACCTGAAGACGGGACTGTTTTGGCCACCGGTTTTTGGGTCGATGGTTCGACTATTTGGTTTGAACGGATGGCCTGTTCTGACAACAAAATTAAAAAATAAAAATAAAAAAAGCGACCAAAAACCTATTGAATTGGTCAACGGTTCAACCGTCAGGTCAATGGGTCGTTGACCGATTCAATGATTTTTGGCTAGGGACAGAGTTTAGAATAAAATGGAACGGTTGCTTGGATGGTTCCCAATGAAAAAAATAATAAAAAATGACCAAAAACAGTTGAACAGGTCAACGGGTTGATGATTTGACTGCTCGAGTCAATGAATATTAACCAATTCAGCGGTTTTTGGTCAGAGACCAGGTCAACAGATCAACAGGTCGACAATTCCATTCCAAACCCTACGAAGCAGGACCCCTCCGCTAGTATGTTATTATTCTAAACTTTTCTCCTACTGTTTGATCCCATCGAAACGAACAAGGTTAAGAAGAAGAAGAGGATGTTGAGAAACCATGTGTTTAATTGGATGTTGAGGCCACGGATGATGGAACTAATACTTGCATGTTTCCTGAAAAATTAGGACGGTTTAAACACATTGATCTGCTGTATCTTATCACATTGCAATGACTCAAGAAAATGCAAACACAACAGCCTATTAATAAATGTCAGAAATTGAGAGATCAAATCCTCCTACCCATTGTTAGAGCAATGCTAGTAGTAAAACAATCCGGATTTCCTACTAACTTTCCTATACTCCCCTCTCTACTAATCCATTAAAATTATTCCAGCTGTTATTAAGTCCTATCTAGTGTAGCGATTGACTAATGCCTTAATTAATTCCTCCTTTAGATACTATTTTAAAGAAATACTTATTTTTATGCATTAAATAAATATTTCTAAAAATAAAAGTATAATAATTTTGGGTGGTCTGTAACTCTTTTACTGATGCATGAATTTGCTATTAGGCTTAGGGAATTAATTTGCATATAATTAAAGAGTGAATGGGAAATTTGCATATAATTAAAATAGATATTTTTATTTTTATCTCTTTTCTAGGCCTAGTAAAGCAAATTCATGCATGTTAAAAGAGTTACGGATAGGGGTGAGCATAAAAAACTAAAAAATCGAACTGATAGAAAAAACCAACCTAAATCGAACCAAAAAATTGGTTAACTGAACCGGTCGGTTCGGTGTTTTTAAAACACCAAAGGTACCGGTTTGATTTCGGTTAACCAATTTAAAAAACCTGCAGTTAACTGAACCAACCGGTATACATGTTTTTTCTATATATTTATGTATATTATATGTATTTTATATATTATAAATTAATAAATATGCATTGTATATAAATATATATAAATATATATATATTTATAATATATGATATATTATTTATTATTTAAAATATAATATTTTATATATATTTATAATTTTTTATTATATATATTTTTATAATAAATATTATAAAGTCAAAAAAACCAAAAAACTGATGAACCGAACTATCAGTTAACTGAACGGGTCAATCGGTTAACCGATTGGTTTCGGTTCGGTTCCGGTTATCAGTTTTCATGAAACCAGTACTACTGATTCGGTTCACAAAAAAGGCGCACAGTTCGGTTACCCGAACCGTGAGCACCCCTAGTTACAGACCACCCAAAATTATTATATTTTTATTTGTAGAAATATTTAATTAATGCTTAAAAATACATATTTCTTTAAAATAGTATCTAAAGGAGGAATTAATTAAGGCATTAGCCAATGGTTACACCAGATATGACTTAGTAACAGCTGGAATAATTTTAATGGGTTAGTAGAGAGGGGAGTAGAGGGAAGTTAGTAGGAAGTTCCGACTAGTAGTAAAAGACTAAAAGTGGGAATAACTTTAGCTGTTGGGTGCAATTACTATTTTACCCCATTTTCATGATAATGTGGCATTCCCAACAATATTCTCAACAGATGGCCCCCAACACCTAAAGTTTTTCTGTAAAAGTGACATTTTGATGAAGCCATTTCAATATATTGAAAAGGCCATTAGTTTTTTCGGTTCTAGCCATGTGTAGGACATTGTCTTAGCAAAAGTGAACTAAGGGTTGATTTACACATGATGGGTGAATATGTATTAAAATTAAAATGTCCATTGATCAATTAAAATTTTTAGATATTGGTGAGAATTGGAATTGGAATCAAAATCCACCAGAATAAGAATTGGAATGGTCTATTCCACTCTTACTTGTTCGGTTAGAATTAGAATCAGTTGGAGTGCGGTTTCTCATTCCCAAGGAAAGGAGAGGAAATAACTATTTTCTCAATTGGGAAAATGTCATTCAACAAAAAATGAGAATGTAATTTAGATTCCACCAAACTAAAAAGTTAAAATCAGAATAAACCATTATGATTCCATACCCTTATTCCCCTTAATCAAATGGACCCCAAGAAATTAGAAGAAAAGAAAATCAACTTAACCACAAATACCTCGTCATTTAGTCTCACATGGTCATCCTCATGGACACATCTTTATTGTCATTTGGGTGAACCCTATCTGTGTTTCAACCACTGTTCATATTCGTCTTTTCCATACCTGCAAAAATGAAGGGAGAATGACGGTTCAGCCCAGAGTAAAAAATTTTTAGGCCCAAAGTACAGTCACGATGGATGCCAGATCAGAATTGATGTCAATTTACCAACAGACAAAATGTATAGAGTGGGGATTTTTAACATTTTGAATATTTATAACTCTATAGTGAAAATAAAAAATCTGTATTAGGTCTGTCAGTACTTTTTTTATTCCCCTTTAAAAGGAAAAAGAAAAGTTAAGAAATTTAATAGGAAAAATTCAACATTTGGGGTCACATTAACATTCCTTTTGCAAAGGAAAGTGATTAGACAATAATTTGGGACATCAATCTCTAGGATGAGACCAACATGTAATCAGAAACCTTACACCACAATCTGAATAATTGCACCACAAACAAGAACAGGAGATTTGGATAACCCCTTCTTTCTAATAGAAGAAATCTGGATATGTTTCTTTTTTTTTTTATTTTGTTAGAAGGTTAAGAAACTTACATATGAATTACTTTTCCGAACTCTTTGACCTCTTCCGAGAAAGACTCATGTAATTCCTTGAGCGTCTGCTGCCGATTGACAATTTCAATTTTATTGATCTTGGGAGCATTTTGATGTCGAAAAGGAAGATGCTTTAAATTTGGACAATCGAGTACAGATACTTCTTCCAACAAAGGCCAATCAGACAAAACACCACACCCACAGATACTTACGAGGCATTGCAACCCGGCAAGGTTTAAATGAGTGAGCTGGAAAAATGTTATCTTATCAACGCATTCTTCGCCATCCTCTTTTGCAACTATTTCTTGCATGGATTTGCAATTTCTCACATCAAGTTTCTTCAATTGAGGAACATTCCCAGTAAGGGATGCAGAGAAGACGTTTCTCAATCCATGGGAATGAGATAAATCAATGTACTCCAGTTTTGGCAAACTTCGAGCTGATAGAGATGAAATAGGACATCTCGCACTAGAGTTACAATTCATTACTGTGAGTGTTTTGAGGGCTAAAAATTGGGGTTGATCATCTTGGACTACTGCTTGGTTTTCATCAAAAAGAATCTCCTCTAGGTTATTGAAATCCATTATTATGAGTTCTTCTAAGCATTGGGATATCTGAGGTGAGAACATACCTTTTAAACCCTTGAAATGATGCATACTAGACACGGTTATTTTCTTTAATTTGGAAGGGTTTTGAACTTGCAGTTGGAAACTCTGCAAATTTGGGCAGAARGCCACAATTACTTCTTCCAGCAGGGGACATACAGCAGAAGTACCACTACCGCAAAAGCTTTCGAGGCACCACAATACTGAGAGATGTAGAATCCTGAGTTGGGGAAATATGATATTGCCCATAGTTTCTTCACCATTCTTCTTTGTGACGATATATTCCATGTTATCGCAGTTCCAGATGTAGAGATTTTCCAGCCTTGGAAGATTTTTGGCCAGGACAACAGAGAAAAGACATCTCACACTTGGGCAATGTACTATTGTCAGTGTTCTGAGGCCTTTTAGTTGTGGTTGATCATCCTGCAGTACCACTTGATCTTCGGCGACGATTTCCTCTAAGTTATTACAGCCATCGATGAAGAGTTCTTCCAGTTGTGGAAGACTTTGAGCTTCGGCCAATGAAAAGATACTTCTCAAACTCTCGCACTTCTGCAAACACAGATGCTTCAACTTGCCAAAGCCCCCTTCATATAATTCTTTCATGCTTTTCAAATCATTGCATCTCTCCAGACAAAGCAATTCCGTATTCTTCCACAACCGAGAACATAGGGTTTTGAGTCTTTCAGCTGATAAGTCACCCAGACATAACGTATGTGGCGTATTTTCATACAATTCAGCAGCAGTCCCAGTACAATATGAGCTTGTCATGTAATTTATCCATATATTAAACCTCACGAATCCTTGAAAGACGAAATCATCTGGCAAATCTCCTCCTAGCTTTAGGTATAGTTCTTCTAGCTGGTACAACCCTGATATCACATTAACTAGATTTGCCCCTTGAGTGGAATCACTCAAATCCAACATCCTTAGATTGGTCAAATGTGCTATATTTTCTGGAAGTTCTGCTGATGATAATAAACAACTGCGAAGGCTGAGAATCACAAGTTTCTTCAACTCTCCAATCATAGATATGTCTACCAAGTATTGTTTATTAGTTACAAAATGTAATGTGCGAAGGTTCGTTAGGCATCTGATCGATGGRGGGAAGCGTTCTACTTGTGTCCTACTCAAATCCAAAACCCTAAGGGATTCCATTCCTTCAAAGAAAGTGTCTGCGATCTCTGTCAAACCCCGATTTTCCTGCAATAGTAAAACTCGAAGCTTTGGATACAGGCCCGACCTGTTAGGGAGCTTCCATATGCTGTTGGATATCAGTGAGATGGCTGTGTATCTTTCACTAGATTCCATTWTTGGATATTCCGTCAGTCCTCTACCAGCTCTTCCCAGGAAGACTTCATGATGAGAATCATCAGATGCCATTGAAATGGCCACATCACGAACGATGTCATGCATTTTGAAATGCTCTTCACTTGGGGAARTTCTCAAAAATGATGATACAAACCCATCTAACAACAGAGAAGATGTTTTCTGTTTCTTGACACCATCCGCACTCTACATCTTGCATCTTCTATTGTGTCGACATTTTCGAAACATCCCAACCCAAAAACATATCTGGCCATCTGCTCTATTTCAATGTTGTAATCTTCAGGAAACAAGCTGCAAAACAAGAATAGCCATTGCGCCTCCCTATYGTTTAGATAATCATAGCTCAACCTTATACAAGAGATCACCTTCTTATCTACTCCCTCGATTCTGTTGGGTTCATTCTTTCGGAGGGTTGTCACTGTGTCTTTCCAGGCTTGTAGCTCCTTCTCATTTCTCAGTGCCCTCGCAATTGTTACCAGTGCGATGGGCAACCCACCACACTCTTTAGCAACTTCCCTCGCCACATGACGCAAATTGTCATCATCCACAACAGAACCAGCTTTACTCTTGAACAAGCTCCACGCATCCTGCTCGCATAAGGTGMCAAGTAGGATACGCTCTTGGACCTCCATTGCTCGACAGACTTGTTCTCTTCTGGTAGTGAGGGTGATTTTGCAACCTTTGTGGTTGTCGCCGTGCGGAATTCCCACATCTCCCAACTCCAGTCTCTCCCAAACATCGTCCAAGATTACAAGAATTGTATTCTCTTTCTTTATTCTCTCAGACAATTTCCATGCTCTTCTTTTTTCGTTCTCAATGGGATCAAAATTCAGGTCTAACATGCTAGCAATGTCATCTTGGATATTTCTCAGGACTGGATTTTGAGACACAGCTGCCATCACAACCTTGTTGAAGATTTTCTCCTCGTTCTGCACTCGCTTCCCAACTTCCTTTACCAGGGTTGTCTTGCCGACACCCCCCATCCCATAAAGCCCGATGAAGTTGATGCTCTGATCTCTCAATGCATTCATGACTTTCTCCATTACTTGTCGTGTGGATTCAAAAACATTGAAATCTCCTTCACACAGAGCTTCTATAGGTGGAGGCGACAATGGATGAGAAACAACATTGAAGCACCCCCCAATTTCTTGAAGATCATTAACACCATTCATCATCTCTGCTGCCTTCTTACTTAACTGGTAACGCGAACAGCAGTGAGGACACAACCCAATAAAACAACGTGAGTCCACATTACTGTTATCAACCAACCCATTTGCTTCATTGATAACAGAATCCACAGTTCCCATCCAATTCGTGACATCAATTAGGATATCCTCTCCCCTCGACTCTGCTTGATCAATTAATTGTTGAACTGATTCTCTGACAGTCTTCAGCTTTTCTACTTGGTTCTTGAGCTGCTCAGTGTTTTCCTTGCAGTGAACCAGATACCCAACACGGCGCTCAACCGGTCGTAACACGGGTTGTAACAAGTATTTTCCAATTTCTACTACGATAGTAGTCAGAAATTCCATTGCCAGTACTCCTAGTGGTTTAAAGGGAATAATAATTAAATCAATATGTATATGATGATAATCAATTGATCACCAACTAAAGTAGAAGAAAAATTTGCAACAGGGAAAAGAGATAATTAATTAAGATTTCAAAGAACAAAACGAGAAGGAGATGTTTTCCTGCGTACGTACCTTTCTTAATTTGGTTTTTAACAACACAACCACCTCCTCCAGCAAACCTTCTTCCTTCTCTCACCCTGCGCAATTCAACACTCAAGACTGAAGACTAAAGCTTGCTTCCAGCCCTGACCAGTGACCAATAAAAATAACTCACTTTTAAGGCTCAAAACAATAATATTGGCCCCAATACACCTTGTTGTCAACTCCTATAGTGCGAAGAATGTCTAAAACTCACCGTGCCACTAAATTTTTATTTTTCAAAATTCACCTTTCGTAGTACACTTTTAAAGCTTCTTAACAGAGGTGTTCATGTCAGCATAAATAATAATTTTCATGACCAAATTACCCTTGAATGACGAGTTAGAGGAAAAATGGTCTCTTTAGTTTTTAATTTTATTGTTTTTCTTTTGCATTTTTAGTGTTTTGTTATAATTCCCAATGTTTTTTTTTTATAATTTTTGTTGTTTTACATTTTCTATTTTCTACAAACTATAAATTTTCCTGTATTTTTTGTTATTTATTTGTAACTTATGTGTTTTTCTATAATTTTTGGTGTCTTTTCTACAATTTTTATTTTCTGATTTTATTTTTCAATTTCAATAGTTTCTATAATTTGAAAATATTTTTTTATTTTGTTTGAAATTTCTATATTTTTTATATTTTTTGTAATTTCTATGGTTTTATGTATTTTATATTTAAAAATATTTTTTGAACATTTTCCTTTTTTTCATGTCTAAATATTAAAATGGTACTATATTAACAACCGTTAATTTATTTTGTATATATTTTTCTATGAAGGTTAAAATGGTAATATATTAACACGTGTTAGTCAGTTTAATGTCAAGTTAATGACATAGTGAGTTTTAGACATTTTGAAAAGTTTTAGTGAGTTTAAAAGAAATGCTGAAAACTCAGGTGAGCTTTAGACAATTTCCCTTAATTATTTATGCATCATGCATGCCACCATCCTGTCATATTTCCTTTTTCAAAGTCACAGGGATTCTGGCATCTACTTTGTCTATCAGTATGGACAGATAGAATTTGATTGCTTTTGTTTATTAATCTTTTACGTGCATTTACTAAAACACCCCTTGTTGTTTGACGGATTTAATAAAGCCTACCTATTGATTTCATTTTACTAAAATACCCTCTCTAGTTTTCAACCAACTGACATTCGTTAATTGGAAGTTGAAAGTGTGGTTTTGAGAGTAATTTCCATTCGAACAAATTGGTTGCAACTATGGGGGCGTTTTTTGCACTTCAAAACTAAGTAAAACACAATAATACATGGATTTTATAAGAGAAAAATTAAAGCATTTGGCGGTTAAAAAGGAAATGGAATAAACACCTGATCTCCTACCCACGAGAACTCTTTCTATGCTTGCCGACAAAACACTATCTCTGTGTATTGGGAACATCTCCCCAAGCATAATAAACGTGTTAGAACATGGGATATTCCCCATTTGTGACTGTGATCTCATGTGGATTGATTAGTGTAAGTAGAATCGTCGTGGGTAAAAAATCCAAACTCAATGGAACAAAATTGAAAGGTAAAGAATCTAAATTAATAGTCCGATGAAATTGAAATCTATGTAGGCTACAAAGCGCCCCACCCATTCTTGGAGAATCCAGGGAATAGGGGGTCGCCAGAAAGCATGAAAACAAGGAAAAGTATCCCATTTATTACTTTTTTTAGATTACTCTAAATCTTATTCTCAAAGAAAACCCAGTTTAATATTTTACCACTTTTATAATGTTCTTTACGACAAAATGAAAAGAATTCATTACCACAGAAGACGTAAAGTGTTATTCCTAAAATGCAGGGAATTCCAAGTATTATTTCCAAATTAGAATCCATTGTAGTTTTGATTACAGGATAGCCCCTAAGGTATCTAATAATTACAGGTTTTCCTTTAGATTTCTGAATTAAATTACAGGATAATTTTTTGTTTCTCGCTTCACACTAGGATTTTAGATTTGGGTGAAATTCTGTGAAATATAAAATTTCATACAAATTTTAGAATATAACTAAAAGGAAATCAGTATTACAAATATAGTAGTATAAAATAAAATAGTATATATAACAAAATAAATTCATTTGAAATACAAAGACACAAAACAAAACAAGTAAAGTACAATCTTAGAGAGTCCAAAAGGGTGAAATTCCCATTTATTGCTTACTAGGGAGTATACACAAAAATCCCTCTAGTAATAGAAAAACAAACCATGGTAATTTGGTAGTTTCAAATCTCCCATGAAGTTTGGTAATTGTAATCACCTCTCTTAAACTTTTTGACACAGTTGCAAGTAGACCCCCTTTATAAAATTCTTTAACAAGAGGCATGAAAATATCTAAAATACCGTATAATTTTATTGAGGTTGTTTTATACATAAAAAAAACAATATAAATGTTATGAACAACAAAAAAATAGACCTTAAAGTTGCAATTTTACTTTTGAGCAATTGATATGAATGGTAAATTTGGAAAATACATCAATTTCGGGAAAGATATTAGAAGGGGTTGGGGTAGTGATTGATATGAAGAAAAAATATAGAAAATAAACATTTTGGTCAAAAGTAACTATATGGGTATTTTGGACATTTTTGTGCTTTTTGTTAGAAGATTTTAATAAAGTGTATACTTGCAATTATGTCAAAAAATTCATACAAGATAATTGCATTTACCATTTTTTTGGGGGTTCAGCAATGATAAAGAATTTTACAGAAGGTTTTAGCAATTTACATTTTCATTTAATTAAATTGAGAAAAAACTAAAAATACACATTATGTTCTAAATAGCCAATGTTGGACCACATTAACCACCATAATATATTAAATATTTTTAATATATAATGTGTATCACGGTCGACCTCTGGTTCAATCCGAATTAAATTTGTCCCATGAACCTCTCCCTTAATGCCCAGTCTAGTTTAAGTCTCTGAACATTGAAAAATACAAATACTTCGTAGAAAAATTTGATCAAATCTTAACATCAACTACTACTAGGATATCCTCTCCCCTCGACTTTGCTTGATCAATTAATTGTTGAACTGATTCTCTGACAATCGTCAGTTTTTCTTCTTGGATCTCGAGCTGCTCAGTGTTTTTTCTTGCAGCGAACCAGACGTAACACAGGTCGTAACAAGTATTTCAGAAATTTTCCATGACTACTCCTAGTAGTTGCATTGATCAATTGATTATGATCTAAACTCTAAAGTAGAAGGAAAATTTGCAACAGGGAGCATGTTATGTTTTCTTGCGTACCTTTCTTAATTTGGTTTTTAACAACACAACCACCTCCTCCAGCAAACCTTCTTCCTTCTCTGATCACCTTCACCTTCGGCGATTCAAGACTCAAGACTCAAGCTTGCTTCCATCCCTGACCACTGACCAATAAAAACAACTCATTTTTGAGGTGGGGTTATATATATCTAATATCTAGGACTAGTTGCTGTAGAGGTTCATAATTAGATGCCAATCAAATGGTGTTTACTCAAAGGGATAATAAATCAAAATCAATCCATGTGAATGAAATCCAATTTTAAATTTTAAAATTGTAAAGCGAATCTACACCCCACATTACTCGTGGACCATCCTCTCATGCTTTTCTTTCTTTGTTTTTTCCTTTTCAAAATCACATTAGGTCTGGCATCTGCACTTGGTCCATCAGTATTGGGCAGCTAGAATTTGTTTGCTTTATATTTGTCTTTTGCGGTCATTTATTAAAACACCCCTATGCTTTCACAGATTTGTAAAACCTACCTATTGATTTTATGCATTTTACTAGTAATCCACATTCCGTTAAATAGAAGCTGGACATGATGGTTTAGATGGTAATACACTAATTCCATTCGAACAAATTTAATTCAGATAAATAAAAATGGAAATATTAATTGTTTCTGTTCGAACAATTTGGTTGCAACTACGAGGACATTTTTGTAAAACATAGTATTGATTATTTGCATTTTATGGGGAATTTTAAATTATTTGACTGTCAAAATTGGAAGCTAAGGCTGCATTTGGAAATGATGCAAATAAGTGTGAATGCAAATATGTAGAATGTAAAACCGTTTATATAAATTGTAAAGTTGGATTAGTTTTGCACCGAAAAATTTATATTTTTACCAAACATACTTTTAATTGTAATGATGCAAACACAAATTCCAATAAAATATATGTTTTTTTATCAAATGCTCACTTGAATGCAAATTTACTTTCTTTTTATTGATGTACTTTTTTGTCTTATTATCAGCGTGAATATGCATTGGAAATATGTTTTCTGTCATTTGTCAATGCATACATGTAATATTGTCAAACACATGCAAAAGTGAAGCAGAGTGCAAATTTATCTTGAACTGGGATTTACACTCCATTTGCATAGTTTCCAAATGCAGCTTAAAGAATCTAAAATCACTTGAGCTCCAATAAATTGAAATCTAAGCTATCATGCACCAATCGAAGCATGGGGCATGTATGTATCTAGGGTGTCAATTGGACTGGATTTGGTCCAATTCAATTCAGTGCATTGTGAATCCATTATAAATGAATCAGATCCAATCTAATCTAATGAATATTTTGGACCATTTTGGATCGGTCCAGTTCGATTCAGTCCAGTGTGAATCCATTATAAATGAACCAGGTCGAATTCAATGTTTGGACTGACCGTCAATCTATTTAAATCCATTTTGATTTGATTGGTTTCAACCCAAATTCGGTCCATTAACACATATATTTTTGTCGTATATCGATAGATCAAATATTGACTTAATCCAATATAACTTTATTACCGACGAACCAGATACAATCCGATCTAATAAATATTTTGAACTGGATTGATCCAATAACCAATCCATCCAAATTGATTTTGGACTGGATGGGTCGAATCCAAAACCGGTCTAGAAGATGTAAAGTGTTTTTCCTACAATGCAGGGAAGTCCGAGTTTTATTCCCAAATTAGAATCCATTGTAGTTTTGATTACAAGATAACCCCGGTAGGATGTAATAATGACAGATTTCTCTTCAGATTTGTTAATTAAATTACAATTTCCTACATAGAGAACAATTGTTTTTAAAAGACAGATCTATCCCTTTTTCCCTTTTTAAGAGAGATTTATTACCTTAGGATTTTATATTTGGGTGAAATTCTGTGAAATATAAAATTTCATACAGATTTTACAACGTAAATCGGTATTACAAATATAGTATAAAATAAATTATATATATGTAACAAAATAAATTCATTTGAAATAAAAAAACATAAAAAAAAAATCAGTAAGATCTTAGAGAGTCCAAAAGGGTTTAAATCAAGCTAACAACTGATCTAGATTTGAAGGTGTAAGTACATGTAGCTCCACAATACTACAATGAGAACCTTGAATCTTAAGAATAAGAAGGTAACGTTGCCGATGATTAGCTATGGGAGAAAATAATAAGTCCGAGAGAAGTGACTGAAGGGAGAAAAACGTTGCCACAGATTAGCTATGATGAGAAAGTTGAAGAAAGGTGAAGAATGTATTCGTGATCCCCTCGAATGGAGAAACTTGGTCTTTACCAGTAACAGGGCACATGCGTTACACATGAGTGGTTGTCATGATAATGATTAAAGTATAATAAAAATAAAAGGAAATTGTAGAAAAAATTTCAACACACATGTAGGTAGAATCAATTTTTGGTTAATTAGGATATTGGAAGGTATTAAAAGAGTTCATAATGAATTTATCTTTCAATTTGATAGCCTGGTGGGAAAATCTTTGATACGGAAAAGATATGTTATGGATAGGGTTTAACACCTTATTCTCTATCATGTACGTTTATGATTCCAATTTATTGGTTAGTTGTTTTACTGACTTAAAAGATGCAGCTCCTTTCCACGCCTTGTAGCTTCAACTTTTTAATTTGTAGAAATAGAGGCTCTGAATGTATACACATCAGTTGTTTTAATAATGGATCACAATAATTCACCTAGCCAGCTGACTAAAGTCCGAGTTCCTGCAGAGAAGTGTCACATTTTTTTCAGGTCCAAGGAGGGGAGGGTTTTGTAGATAAATACCATTACCAACCAATTACATTTTGGCATTGCTTCAGTCCCTTCGCTTAACATCATGAAAGCTTTCCCATGCTTTGTCAATCAACCGACAACTTGAGGGACAAATTTAAAGTGGATGGAGAAAGGGAGAAAAGAAAAAAAAAAAAAAGATTCAAGTGTCAATGAATGCATAATAATAATTAAAGATAAAACAAAGCTCACAGGTCCAATTCTTATCAATAAAACAGCAGGCAAAATTTGATGCTCTTCAATTATTAAAGGGAAATTGGACAAGAAAAAAGCATGCCAGAAAGAGACTAAAGCAAGATAGAAGAGGTATAGGTCAATAGTTTAAGTGATGCGCCTTTTCCACGAAGATCAAGGTTGTCCAATGAAGCTGCTCTGTGGAGGGGAGTTGTAAGGCAGAACACGAATATGTTGTAGAGTTTAAATAAGTTCCGTAGAGAAGAAAGGCTAAGGGCGTAGAGAAGAAAGTTTCGTGTTGGTGCTTGGAGATGTGAAGAGTTGTGTTCAAACTTCAAACCACACTATGGAAATAACCAGAATTAAGATGATAGTCCTACTCACCAAAAAGCATCTCAGAGTTCTGAACCTCACCTGATCTAAGCTGCTATTTTGTTGAATATATTTCTGCAACCAGATTTATCCGGTCTAACTTGCTTTGTCGTTGGATGTATCTCTGAAACAAGATCTGTTAGAGCTTCATCTACCTCTGATCTACACCCTCTTTTTCGGATTGCTGGTTTCGTCACTGGTTGTAAGCTCCTATATTACCATCTCACATACCAAAGAGGAGAGGTGGAGAAACAGGGTTGCTCTACCACACACTGTATTAGGAGGTTGAAGATTGAAAACGTGTTTTCGTTTTAGAAAACATAATTTTGATGGTTTCAAAAGCATGATTGTTATTTTCACTTCTCAAAACAAAAACAGAGTTGAAAGAACATTATTTTGTCTTTTGATAATGTGGCAATTCTGAAAACAAAGTGAAAGAAAAAACGTTCTCATTGTTGATCACCCCCTTATGAGTGGACCCAAGCTCGGATTCAAGATGAGTGTCAGCTATTATGAGCTCGTATCAATACTTTGAACATTGGGTGAATACTGATGGAGGATGATTTGACCCGACCCACTAAGACGATGACATGTGGACCTGACTCAGCACGAGCAACAACTCAGCACTATAGCTTGGCTGCAACTAAGTAACGAGCCTGTAGAACAGCTCGCTACATCATAGCTCGCTGTAGGGGGAGCTCGCTACGACACGAGCTCCACGTCCCTTGAGCTACTGAGAAGGGAATACTCCAAGACTATTTCAGCTCGCGAGCTAGGGTAACCAGCTCGCTCCAACACTTAGGCAGAAGAACTGCCCCAAAGGAAACCTTGATGAGGGTCACCTCGAAGTATCCCTAAGAGCTCGCTACAAAGTAGCTCGCGGCAAGGATAGCTCGCTACGCGACAAGGTAGCTCGCTACAAAGTAACTCGCGACTGAGTAACGCGACGCTCTCAGGAAGCTTCTATCTGACAAGACCGTACCCGTCAGAATGCGCCACGTCTCTCGACTGACGGCGCAGTCCTTGTCCTTTCGACAGTTTGCACCCACGTCTCTCGACAGATGGTGGCGTGCATGCCCCTTTGGGACGTGTCACTCGTCCAAGCGGATAGTACATTATAACGATCACCTGCGCAGCCCTGGCAGGTAACGGCTGTGATAGGAGCTCAGTGGCGGTTACGCCCGATTTGACAAGAACGCCCCTATAAAAGCTCTATAGGCGTAGGGGCTCTCTCGGATTTTTCATCTGAACTTGAGTTATCTACTTACTCACGAGCTAATCTCGAGAACACAGTGATCTAGCGCGACCTACACTCTTAGCCTTTTATACTCTTTTCTTCCTCCCAACGTTCTAACTTAAGCTTCGGAGTATTCCCGCCGGGCAAATTCCCCGGGAATCCTTCATCTTCGTCTTCTCAGGTGCTGTCTGTTTCCAACATGGAGCCAGTCAGCAGCCAGCTCAGAGTGCTCGGATCATGCCACATCATTTGGCGCCGTCTGTAGGAAACGCTTCTAAAAGCCTTCCTTTAAGCTTTTATAGTTTCTTCTTCCAAAACTTAGCATCCTTCATGGCTTCTTCCAGTAACGCCGGATGTGGTACCAGCCAGAACGCTTCTAGGGAGCAACCCCAGCTTCCTACTATCTGTATCAGACAGTTCACCGTCCCCCTCTCTGTGGACGGAGTTCCCAGTTTGAATGTGCCTCTTATAGTGGCACCCGCCGTTGCTCCACTCCCTTCCATAGTCGAAGGAACCTTTGCTGAACTCTCGGTT